TCGTCGGAGTTACGGTGTACTGTGTGTGTGTGAACGAAGATGGTTTGGCATGGAGACGACAGGACGATGCGTCACACGGGAAGAGTAGTTTGGTGCTCAGGGAATGCGTATCGATTTTTCCCGGCGAATTCCACGCATCGGTGCTTGCGTCATGTAGTCGAGGCGACAGCCGTCGTGGCACCCAGATTCGAGGACTTGGCGGGAGCGACAGCGTCAGCGACGATGGTTGCGTTCTCGCTCAAACGAGTGTGATTTCAATCGCCTGACTTATTCACCACATGGCTTATCGAGTGGCGATAGGGTGTGAGGTGGGTTGCGTGTGATGGTATCAAGTGGAGATAAATAGTATTGTAGGTGGAGAGATCATGGAAGCAGGAATGGGTAAATGCTGGTTGGTCGTGCGTTGGCATGTGATTAACTTGTTGAGAAGAGAAATGCGAGAGCCATTGATGGCTTGTTTAACAAACCGAATCTGCTGCCTTCACGGTGTTCGTTATTTCGTTCTGCTTTCTCTGGTCTAACTTACAGCTGGTAAAGTTTAGTGTTGACATGCGTTAGATCGAAATGTCATCTTTGTCCTTCTAAAATTCATGTGTGAGTAGCTTTTTGAGATCCGTCTAGTTTATGAGTTTACTTTACTGCCATGAGATGCATTTTCAGTCGTTTAAATTGTTTTATTCTGGATCAATTAATGTCTTGAGATGTTTTTTTGTGTTTACGAGTATTTGCGTGTGAAGTTGACGCTGTAGAAGATTGTGGTGATGGATTGTGGACTGAGAAGTGGTTGGGGCTTCCTCAGACTCATTTTTTGTTCAGAAATGGTCAAATCAATGGAATAAGCGCTGGAGATCGCTTACAGATGAGTAGGCAAGTAGCCACCTCTGAGTAGGTCATAAGGTTTGGGATTGGCCGCGTGTCCATCGCAGGTATGCTGTGTAGTTCACAACGTTGACGACCTAGGAACGAATGGGGTTCTTTACAGTATTCGAAACTAAGTTGGCTTGTGCTGGTTTATATTTTCACGTAATTATGTTAGTCTGGCCGCCACACTTCCTTTTTAATGGAACAAAACTGTCTGGATGCTCGTCATTAGGCAGACTGGGTTGCCTCTGAATTTAGACTGAATTATTAAAAATGGAATCAACCAAGAATGAGAATGCAGTCTCCATTTAAGGGCATTTCACCAAGTCATCGGAGCTGAAGTGCTGTCTTATTGTTTAAGTGAGGTTTGATACAAGTATTGGTTAGCGTTGAGGAGGAGGTCTGATTACATGCCAAAGTTAAAGAAGTAGGCTCTACCTGACATGAAGGGGGATGATCCGTTTAATGGATTTCTGAAGTTGGAGCTTTGGTTTCCTGCTTCTATTGCGACTATTTATGAATTTAAAACAGAGTATGCCAATGTTAAATAACAAACACCAAACATGTTCACAAAAGTTATGGGTTTGAAGTATTACTTGGACGTTTCATTAAGTAACCCAAAATACTTTCCCAAATGTCTCTGATTTCGAAAAATCCGAGAGATTAATGGGAAAATGAACGTAGCTTATGAAGACGACGAAAATAAAAGCGCATTGCATTGTTTGTTTTTGTTTGATCTCTGCTAGCTCTAAGGGCCTCGGTATTGCATTCAAATATTGAAACTAGTTCACAAATCTCTTGGTAAACGAAGTTCTATTACAAACATATGCAGACATTCAGGTTAATTTGCCTTCGCTATGTGGGTGGAACAGACAAACATTGGCTTCATATAAAACGTGCGCGACCATGTGTCCAATTGTATATATAGAGTTAGGTAACATTTCCCTTCGCGTTTTTAATCAAATGCGCTTTTGAAAAAGATTTTATGCAATTAAATCTTGTCAAGAAAACCATTTTTGATATCGTCATTGTAACAACGCGCTTACTCAGGATATGCCTAACCGTAAAGTATTTGCAATCAAAGTAGTTGTGGTTAGAGGAGGTATTTTGGTATTGTCATTAGGAAACAACAGACCTTGATTGTTTCCAATTAAGTGGTTCACAAATTTACTACGTGATGTAGGTTGACGGAATAATACAAATGCTCTAAATCCTCACATTTATATCCTGTGCAAGCTTTAGGAAAGCATCCGAAACACTGGTAAAGCACTGGTGGTTTCTGGCCATAAAGACGCTACTTGCGTGCATAAAAGAGTTGTTATCGGTATCAAACAATCGACAGCTTTTAAAGGAATAATGCATAATTGAGGCATTTGTATTATACGTAGATTTGCTAAAATGAATTCTGTCTTACTATAGACTCTTCATGTACTTCATTGTATAGGAAGCTTCAGCGTTTTAGGCTACCTTAAATAATATTTTTGCATTTAAGAATGTTAACTATGTAAATGAGTTGCAAATGGTTGACATTGTTAACGAGACGATGTGCGTTTAAGTTACTTATTCAAATACTGCTAATTTCAACATTTTCCGATTAGGGTGTTTCTGCCAATGAAGGCTCGGTTCGAATCGTTCGATGTGGTTGCATGTGTTTCGGAACTAAAAAATATGTATGTTAGATCTCTTACTTGATAGACACTATTTAGTCTAATTGGCTACCGATTAGTCAACATTTATGACGCAAACAATAAAACGTACTTATTTAAACTTTCTAAGTAAGTTTGCTTTTTCCTCTATCATTTTCTAAGTTCATCTTCCGATGAAAAATTATTTTTGCTTATCGAATCTGGCGTTCGGATGCACCTTACTGGTTTTTCATGGCCAAAAAGCACCATGCCCCTTGGCTTCACAATGAAAGTGGGTTAACAGTAAACTAATTTTTCGCTCGTTAGCTTCGTAAGCATATCAAAAACAAGAAGCTGTCTGATATTAAGCAGCTGGGTATCGATCGTCTGGTAGATCTTACTTTTGGATTTGATGAAAACGCATACCATCTCATCGTGGAATTGTATGACAAGGTACATCGGTTTGTCTGGCCGTTGCCTTTGTATCTCCTTACCACTCTGCTAAATGTCATCATTTGTAGGGCAACATGTTTCTTACAGATGCTTCCTATACTATACTGCACTTGCTTCGCACGAGAACAGACGCCGATCAGGACGTTAGATATGCCACTCGGGAGCGATTTCCTGTTGAGTTGGCCCGTCCTTTCCCAGATGTTCTTGTTGATCTTCAGAATTCCTCAACTGTCGAAAGACTTACTCAGACAATAAGCGAACTTCTTCTAAATGCAAATGGACCCTGGAACGCCATGCCTCCTCCTACTGAGGGCTCCGATCGCTTACCCATTGTAACCGTTCTTAATAATTATTTCTGTAAGTGTTGTGCCCATAGTTTCGCAGTCGTGATTTCAAAACCTGACTAATTTTTTTTTCTTTGTATTTTAGCGTTCGGCACTGGGTTAATTGAGCATTGTTGCTATCTGGCTGGACTCTCAAATGTTAAGCGTCCACGTAAAGGCGAAAAAACCGAAAGTTTATTTGTCACTTCACCTGATTCCGAGGCCTGCCGCGTAGAATTTAGCCGGAAAATTGCCATAGCTCTTATCGAGGTGCTTTTGCAAATACAGGGGAAATCGTCGTTAACTGGGGACTCTAGTTCTACGCCCGCCGTGATTCTAGGCACGCCTGACTCCAAGGAACCGGAAAAACTCACAAAGTACGTGGTATTTTGTCAGTGGTGCAGGCTATTGTGGCTTTAAACACACACTACTTGCATGTAAACTGTAGGTACGATTCGTACTACCCTATTCGTTTCGCACATTTGGCCACGAAACCGGGCATGGAGTTTCCATCGTTTAACAAGGTAATGCTAGTTCGCACATTGTTTGTCTTCCGATTCGTCCTTGCAAACTGTTCGATTCATTCTGCAGGCCGTGGATGAATTCTACTCCAGCTTGGAGATCCAACGAACCGAAGTCCAAATTGCGCAGAATGTAAGCCGAATCAGAGATTTTCTACCGTCAACTTTTGTTCCATAGGAGAAGAATGCTAATAAGAAGTTGGACAATATCAGAAGAGACCAGGAACAGCGACTTAGGACCCTCAAGGAGGAACAGGTCAGTGTTTGGTCAGTTTTCAAACTCTTTCTTTTTGCAACTTAGCAACGCTCTATTTTCGTTCTCTTTTAGGTTGCAGACAACAGACGGGCTCAGTTGCTGGAACTCAACGCCGAATTGGTCGACAAGGTCATTGTGACCTTGAACTGCGCAATAGCCAATCAGACCAACTGGAAGGTTCTCGAACAGGTCTTGGAGAACCAGAAGCAACTCGGGGACGACCCAGTGGTAAACTGCATTGTGCGTCTTCAACTCGCATCGAATCAGGCCGTTCTGCGCCTCTGGTAATTCATTAATTTTTGCCGTCAACACATTTTGCCCGCTTCTGATTGGTCACGTCATTTTTCTACGTCGTCTTTAGCGATCCCTACGCAAATGACGATGACAGCGACAACGAAGCTTCCTCTATGGATATTTTAGTTGATCTCGACTGCACAGCCTTGCAAAACGCCAAGAAGTGAGTTATGATCCGTGATTGTGGTATTTGGAGTGCCGTTGTGCCGTGATAGCTGATTTTCTTCCTTTTTGTCAAGATATTTGTATGTGTGCGACTCGTACTAGAAGCTATGCTTCCTATTACTCATTTGCGCTTCGTTTCCTTTTCGAAATTTGAGTCAATTAAACTCAAATTATGCGTACGTTGCCTGACAACGCCTGGTAGAGTCTTGCCGACGTAATGTAAGCGCGGTTTTTGCTTCCCGTTCGCGTAGATACTACTCACATCGTCGACAGGCCGAGGCAAAGGAGCAGAAGACAATAGCTGGCACAAAAATCGTGAGTTTGGCGTTGGTTTTGGGTGTGTGTTGGCGTCAAGTCCCCGATCATCTGATTGGTGCAGTGGTAACAAATCTGGTTGGCTAACCCTGTGTCACTTTTCTCTCTCGCTCTAGGCTCTGAAAGTCGCGTCAAAGAAGGCGGAAAAGACACGGAAGGAGGTCCGCAACGTGCAGAAACCAACCAAGACGCGCAAACCGTTTTGGTGGGTGCTGCCTAAAGGCCCTTCACTTATTGCGCTCCTTTTTCATTGGCTCATTAACTCTTGGCGGAGTGCGATTGGATGATACGCCACTACAGTCCCCTCGTTTGATTGGTTAGACTAGTCGCAGAGTTGAAGATAGGTGTAGTCACGGTGGTTGTCGAAATTGACGCAAACTTCACCCTAAATAATTGTAACCAAGGTCGCGTTTGGAGTTTTCGTGAGTTTGTGTGTGTGTGTGTGCGTGTTTTAGGTTCGAGAAATTCCACTGGTTCATCAGTTCAGAAAACTACCTCGTTCTGGCCGGTCGTGACGCCGCGCAAAACGAGAATCTGGTCAAACGACACTTCCGCCAGCATGACATCTACGTCCACGCTGACGTCCACGGCGCCAGCAGCGTCATCGTCAAGGCGCGGCGTCTCCAGCCCTCCGAACAGCCTCCTCCAGGCAGGTGTTGGGGGGTTGTGGTTATGCGGTGGGGGGGAGGGGGAGGTAGATTGGCGCCTCGTTTAAATTCGCCTTTTTTTTAATTGCTCATCAGGCGCGTCTGGCAACGAAGACTCCGCGCTTCCCCAACCACCAATGAAAACCCTCATTGAGGCTGGTCACATGGCCGTTGCCCTTAGCAACGCGTGGTCCGCCAAGGTCATCACTAACGCCTGGTGGGTGCGCTACGAGCAGGTGTCGAAGACGGCGCCCACGGGAGAATACCTCCCTACGGGGTCGTTCGTCATCCGTGGACGCAAGCACATGCTGCCTCAGTGTCACCTCGCGTACGGCATCGCAATCCTCTTCAAGGTGATTGGCCGGCGCCTGATTGGCTTAGCTTTAACCACGAAGTCACGGTTATTATTGCCTGCGTCGATGTTCTAGCTTGGAGACGATTCAGTTGAGCGTCACCTGGGTGAGCGTTGCATCGACTTGGACTCCGCTACCGACGTCTCTACGTCGAAGTACGACGCAGTAGCTGCTGTGGCAAAAGACGAGGGCGATTCCGAAGCAGACGACGCCGAACTGACCACAGCCTTCCGAAACGTCTCTCTCAATCTCAACGTTAATCGGTCAGTGCTACAATATTGTTTTTTCGTCAAATACCGACTACTTATACGTTGCAAGTAGTGCTTTTGTGACCAAATTAATATTTTTGTGTATTTTGCAGAATTAAGAAATCGCAGCCGGCACCACAGAAAGACGGCAAGCGCAGTAACACACAGAATCCTCCGTCAAAGGTGGAGACAGCGGGGAAAAGGACAAACGCCGGTCCAAACCCTCTGAAACGAGGCCAGAAGGCCAAAATGAAGCGTATCAGGCAGAAATACGGCGATCAAGACGACGAGGAGCGTCAAATGCGCCTGAAAATACTTCAGGTTGGTTGGTTGGTGGTGTTTTGTGGCGCTGATTGAAATCAGAACATGAGAATTCATTGTTTTGCACACAGGGTGCCAACGCCAAATTGAGCGTCGTCCACGACATCGGAAAGGCTCCACACCAAGTCGCGAAGATGGACGAAGACGATGATGAGGCAGTGCCATTTCCTCCAGTTGAAGATGTCGTGTCGTCGGATTCCGAACAGCAAGAAGAGGTGGAGGAGGAGAAGGTGGTTGTGGCGGTGGAGGGTAAGGAGGAGGAAGACGAGGGGGTAGCGTGGGTGGCGGAGGAGTCGCCTCTGGAGACGCTGACTGGTCAGCCGGTCGACGAGGACACGCTGCTCTTCGCGTTGCCCTTCTGCGCGCCGTATAGCGCGCTGGCGAAGTACAAGTACAAAGCCAAGCTCATTCCGGGCACGCAGAAGCGCGGGAAAAGTACACCTACTTATTGTCATTATCAGTAGCGTTTATTTTACCGCGGTGATTATCCTTCCAATTTATCCCATTTTCAGTTACTAAATTGGCGATTCAACACTTCAGCCAGGACAAGGCAGCGAGTCAGCTGGAGAAGCAGTTGATTCAGTGTCTGCGTGAGGAAGACGTCTGTCGAGTTCTGCCAGGACCCGCGAAGATAACATTTTTGGAGTCGCAACGCCACGCCTAGCACCTTTTTTTCTACCAATTTTGCCTTTTTGTCTGATATGTACAGTCATTTGGTGCTTTTGAAGTATGTCAGCTTCGCTTGTTCTACGGGGGTGTATTTTTAAACCTGGAAGTAATGTGTACTTAATAAAATTAAGTACACACTTTTTCACAGTTATTTTTTCCGCCAAAACCAACTGAAACCCAATTGCCATGTTGGCCGTTTCAGTTGACTGTGAACTCACAAATTAATTATTTTGACGTAAGTATAGTTATTTAGACAATCTGGGGTTTGTTGGTCTGGTCAACTTTATATTACAAAACTAGCGCTAAACTGGTCGCTGAAATACAAAATAAGTAGTTTGTGCCATAACGCAGTTATCATCGTCGGGCGAGTAGCGCTATTGTCGTTTATTGCGGAAGTTACGATCGAAGTGTGCACTTTAGGCTCTTTTTTTCGTTTTCCCAAACTGCCCAAAAATAAATCAAACGGGGACGCTGAAATGCCATTTAAGTAGCTTCACTCCAGGATAATAGTTAAATAACGCTCAATAGAAAAAAAGGAAGAAGGGGACAATCGGCCAATTGGTGAAAATAAATACGGCGACGACTTGTAGGATGGAAAGGAGGGCTGAATGATGATGGTGGTGGCGGGTTTTAACTGTTTTTAGTGTCGTAGGCTGTGGGGGAGACATTTTGCTTCATAAATTCGATTATCCGGTCCACACAGCCCTCTTCCAACTCCGGCGTCCACCTGAAATGAGAGGTTTGTGGGGACACCTCAGAACAAGCAAGTCAACGCGTTCAAGGGAACTTGGCGACTCACTGAACCGAGTTGAACTTTGTGATGGTGCGGATGTCCTCGGGCAAGGCGTCTGTGTTGCCCCAGTCGAACCGATCCGACAGCGGGATGATGTGGCAGTTGTTCTCAAGGGCACAGTTAATCTCCTAGACAACGGAAACACAATTTAAGCGCACTTGACATAATCCGCCAATGGGCGGCGTTTGTCGATCAATAATCCGACCCACTTTTCACACCCAGTTGGTGGATCAATTAATATTCCCCGTCGATCGATCAATATATCTACCCAGTTGATGGATCAATAAATCTACCCAATTGACGGATCAATAAGTTGACCTAGTCGATCAATCAATAAATCTACTCATTTGCTGGATCAATGAATTCACCCAGTTAATAGATCAATAAATCTACACAGTTGATGGATCAATAAATCTGCCCGGTCGATCGATCAATATACCTACCCAGTTTATGAATCAGTAAATCTACCCTGTCGATGGATCAATAAATGTGCCCAGTTGATCGATCAATAAATCGACCCAGTTAATGGACTGGTAAATCTACTCACTTTTCGGACAAAGTTGATTGATCAATAAATCTACCCACTTTTAGCATCCAGTTGATGGATCAATAAATCTACCTAGTTGATGGATCAATAAATCTACCCACTTTTCGGACCCAATCGATGCTGCCATCTGTGCTGCAACGGTCAAGAGCGCCCTCAGTGAGGATGAGAATGAAGTTGTCCGATCGCTTGATGGAATCCATCAACTTCTGATCAAAACGTCCACCCTTGAGGCGTTCAATGTCCAAAAAGACGTGATACTTGCGCAGCTGGAGCAGCGTCTTTATGAGACTGGCCAAGTGGGTGCCGTTGGAGCGTCGGTAGGAGATGAAAAAATCGATACGGTTCTCCGACGCCTCGCGCACCGTGCTCTTGACGCGCGCTAGTTGACACAAAACGCATCAAAACGCATCCGAGTCGCGGAATGTCTTCACAACAAATCGTGGAAACACTCACTAGCCTGCTGCACCGCCTTCAGCAGCTGACGACGGTGAATGGCGTCCGTGATGTGGCAGGTGTGCTCCAGGTCCGCCTCGGTAAGATCCACCAGGCACTGCCTTGTGACGCCGTGGCGAAGCAAGTTGTAGGTGTATTGAGTGAGCACAGCGGCTGGAATGACTGAGGCGATAGCGGAACTCGATGCTGACACGCCTTCCTCTGAACCCATCAATGCCGCCGGCATGTTCGGTGTCTGCAGAGAGGCGTTCGACGTCTCGTTCGAGTCCTGAGAAGCCGTGGCGAGGAATTCCGCCACACCGGTTGGGTCGATTTGGGAGTAATTGGCCATAGACTTCAATCGACTCAATTGTCGCATGAATCTAGGCGGGAAAGTGACGTGCGATGCCGCCTTAGTCTGCTCTCAATCGATTACCGGTTTACGCGTAAACTGCAAGGTCGGTTACAAACCTGCGTCTGGCAATGCAGTTCGTAATGCCAAGCCCATGTTCTATCTCGCTCTCCGTCAATCCCAACAGCAGTTCGCCATCGATTTTTAGCGATGTGGTCTTGTCAGCTATGCTCTCGAACCCCTCCTACAAGAAAATCAATAAATCAATAAGAGTGATCTGTTTACGGGGATTTTGTTGAAACCAGTGTCGTGTGACACGCCAACTCACTCGAATCATCCAGCAGACAACATCTTCCACGGGCCAATGAAATACCCGCAACGAGAGGGCTTTGGGCACAGTGGAGCCCATTTTGTCCAAAACCAGGGCAGCCAATTTCCATGCGGGTTCGCGCTTCAGACCTGACACCTTCACCAAAGCAGATTCAATGCTTGCTCTCTATATAAGAACACAATAAACACTTTTTACATTTTTTATTATCAAACGTCTACTCACAATGATAAAAGTAGCCAGGATTTAGCAAACATCTTACGTTAGCTGGAGCGAGCTCTTGCAGAGTACTGGGTGTGAGAATGGCAGCGATTGCAAAGTGAAACGCAGCGAAGGCCTGCGCCTCAACATGCGAATCCGATGTAAGCGCGGGCAAAATAAAGAGGAGCCAGTCCTCACTGAATATTGGCGTTTGATCGGTGAAATTTCGACTTGCAAACTCAACTGCATTGTGCTTCTTCACGAACGGAATCACCAGACCAATCAGCTGCGAGCGTTCCAGAACTGCGTCAAGGTCACTAAATCCACCAATCACAAGCGTTGTCTGAGCTGCCAATTGCGTCGGCGCGGTCGGTTTAAATTTAAATTCTTACCGATTGTTGGAGAGAATGGTGACAATGAGGAAGGTGTAGTACTGGATCTCTTCGTTGGGATGCAGCGCAAGCAAGAAGAGCCAGGCAACGGTGTTGCGTCGAACCATCTCGTGTTGGTACTCCTTGCCCACCCGGTGCAACAGATTAGCCAATGAGATGACAGCGTGTTTGACAGCCGCAACGTCCTCCGACCGACAGGCGTGAAACACGTAATCTAATCCCCCCTGTTCTATGACGTCCTGACACGTGTGCTCATTGTAATTTGTCATCTCTAAAAGGCAAAATTACCCTCCCCAAGTCAGCTGAGACATGGCCTTGGAGTTCCGGCCGGTCGCGGTGTCAGCACGTACTTTCAATGAGCGCGACGAATTCTCGATTGACCTCCTTGTCCTTGGCGGCGTCTTTGCCTCGGTTCATAAGCATGCACACAGCGTGGCGCATTCTGTCGCCTCCATTGGACCGTCTGGATGGCTGCACGACGTTCGACGCCTCGGAATCCTCCTCGATTCCAACCGGTGTCGTGGAAATGGGACAGGAGCAGAAGGCTTCCAGGATCGGAAGACCTGGCGAACTGCTGAGGGCTCCGTCCAAACCCACATCGTTAACCAACTAGAAGAGCCAGCGAAAGGAATTTGGTAAAATCGAGACGCAGTGGTCTCCCCCCTCTTGCCCCCCATGGGGTGTATCCTAGACCAACAGATGTCCGACCATGTGCTCATTAGACAGCTGCCTAGCTGACCATTTGGTTTTTTAAAAAAATTAGAGGAGAAAACAACAATTCTTATTTGGGCAAATTTCCAACGATTTTGACAAAATGAGAGACGAAAAAGTCCGTTAGAGTCCTGGAGTTGATTATTTTGCTCTAAAATTGTGATTTCGCCATTTTAGCGTGATAGGTGGTGGCAGTGGTGACGGTGGTGGTGGTAGTGAAAGTGTTAGATTAAATTAATAAAATCATCGCTTGTAAATCGGAGTTTTTAAGCTGTTTCGAAATGAACGTCTCAGTTCAAAATGAACCTAAAGATTGTGAAGACTGACTACTCAACCAAGATTTGATCTGCGTGCAAAAAGGCAAATTTTATCGAAAATAGAAATAAACGAAAGAAGAATAAGTGACTTGGGAAAATTAGTTGACCAGGAAATGATGAATAGACCATTTGTTCTTCTTGTAACCTCCACAAAAAGCTGTTTTTAAAAGCAACAAGCATCCGATTCCATTGCTTTTCGACTAGTGAAATTAATCGATCAGATTTGACTCGTTTGTGATTGGCGATTTTTGCATTATTTCATTGGCTCAAGCGGACCAATGGGGTTGAACCAAAAATTAAAATTTGAAAAATGGTGATGTACATCAACTAAGTTCTTTCTAAGGTAATCCCAAGCAGAAATGTTTCCTCGCAAATTGCACTTTTTACTGTAGACACTCAAGGCTGCCAGACAAGCTAAAATTACGTCTGTCTGGAATAAATTATGGCCTGAAAATTTGGTTGGTTGGTAAGCGGTGAAACGGGAGTCATCGAAGTAACACGTACCTGTCTAAGGAGTCGCAGGTATGCAAGGTTAGTGCGTTTTTTGACCTGATTGAAACGTCTGCCGATTTCACCGTTCGCTGATCCGGTTAGTGAGTCTTTTAAACGCGATGAAAAAAGTGGTTCACCCATACGACTTCCCCCAGTTGGCAAGAGCGTTTCCAAGCTCTAAAATATCGACAGAAATCAGTGTTAGGGTGGTGTGTTCAAAAAGGAGACGCATAATGTAGCAGTGTTTCTTCGGTTTCAAAGTCATAGTTGAAAAAAAAACATCCGTGTTACCGTCAGGAAGTCGGTGGCAGTGGAGGCAAAAAATTTGCACCATGCGCAACAAATTCCTTACTCCATTTCTAGAGGATGCTTTGACAAACGAAAATTAAAGAACGCAGTCATTCCAATACACCAAATTTGTTCCAATATGCATCAAAGTGGTTCGTAACCTCGGCACCCGTGATTCTCTAACACCATTGGTTAGGAAATTTCCCGCGCAGTGCATTTTGTGCCACGCAACACTTTACTTGATATCTTCGTTCGAAGTCATTTAGCCTTCCAGCCAATCACAAACTAGCTTTCATCAGAAGATAAGCTAAGTTTCCTTTACTGCATTGGTGACACAGAGTCTAAAATCACCAACTGCGGAAATTGTCTGATATGTTCAAAAGAAATAGCCAAAATTTCACAGGAATTTTCCATACATTACCCACTTGACGTGTGAACAAGGGATTAAGTCGACATCAGACAACGCCACCCCAATGGACAACACATGATCACGAGGTTATCGTTTACCCTGAGTTCTGATTGGATAAAATGAAAGTGACTTTGGTAAAGTCTCCTTCTTTCATTGGTGGTACACAAGAGGAGGGCAGACACCTACTTGGCAATGACCTTCCATTTTCTCCAGCATCGACTCCGACACGTTGGTCTGCCGGAAGAGGTTCTGCATCTCCGTGATATTTTCAACCACTCTCGAGGATGCGTCGATGATCTTGCTGCTTCCGGTGAAGCTGCTTTTTGTGGTGCTGGCGGACGTCGAACGCACCTCCACCGTCTTCATCGACGACGTCGCAACCGTCTTCGATGTCTTTATGGATGTGGAGGAGCTGTGGCGCTTGTGAATGTTGTTCCGCGCATTCTCGATCGACCCCTCGAAGGTCATCGACAGTGGAAGGCTAGTGGTCGGTGACGTTGTCCCAGATGAACTCATATCGGAATTGGCCAATGAGATGTTGCGGTAGTTGATTCGCTGAACGACTACAAATAACGCGATTTTTTAACAGAGGCCAATGAACCCGTTTAAGCAAATGACTTAATGGTAAAATATTCATTTTTTTTTACTTAACTACAGTTTGTTTGTTTTAATGCGTTGGGCGGAATCGAGGCGGCATATTTAACAGAAGAGCCAATAATCGCCTTCTGCACTACAGAGTGAACAAAGTAACCCACGAAATGTTACTTCTCGTGTCTGGATCGCGCGCACTTTATGCACCCAAACGACACTATACCAAACGCTAATGCGTATGAATCATACAGTCACGGTGTGATTTTAACGACAGCTGTGTAGTGTTATTGGTGTTAACTTTACATGGTACTGAAAAAGAACATGTGTTTTTAAAGAATTCTGTCGCATTTATTGCACTGAATTGAATACAACTGTTTTTGACAATAAACATTGTTTTAATGAATAATTTGGAGCATTGGTGTCAGAAATGGTAGTTTTGATCACGAAAACGGGTGACATGATACTGCTAGAAAGGTGGTCTCGTGCTTCCAATAAATCGTCTTACTATTATGTAGTACAAGAAATTTATAAATTTTATTTGAATAAATTTGGCGCGCAAACGAGCTGACAAAATTTATGATAAATTAAATCCAGAAATTTTGTGCCAACGGTGTATGCAGGCCAATAATATTATTCAGAAATGGAATCGTGTCTTTAAATCCCCTTCTTTTTCGAGGTAAATTAATGCATTTAAAGGATTTGGAATGCGCACATTAAATGCGAATTTCGTTTAAGAACTTTGATTAAAATTGTAGTGGTATTTGCGCGCATGGGATGGCACCTGGTTAAATAAACGAATCTGTGGAAGCGAGTGATTGACACAACAAAAAGAGGCTTTCCAAACTGGCCAATCAAATCAACCTCGTACAGCCAATGACTAATCGATATGTTAGCAGGCGCGTGATTGGTCAGTAAGTGCACAGACGTATTGTTGACGTATTTTTTCAGCGTAGCAGGAAGAAAACGGCTAAATTTTAAAACAGACGAAAAAGAATCAAGTTGATATTTTATCCCGACATACTTGGTCTGCTGTCCTGATCCGTGAGAGGCACCCTTCCTTCCATATTCTGTCACCTACAATTTAAAAACGACAAAATTTTTCTTATTCAATAAAGCAAATTTAACAGAGGGGTAAATTTTCAGGAATTCGGCGAATTAGCCCTAAAAAAATCACATTTCGGAGACCAGTAAAAGCCCCTCATTATCGAAGCAAGATCTAAGTGGGAGATTACGATTTTCAATCAGGTCCCAGAAATAAATTAATCTTCACCCTGTTTTTTTGTTTGAGTTTGTTGTAAAGCATATAGGGGGAAATATTCATTGCAATTAAATTGATTGCGGTTTTATTCTATTTCGAAAAACATAAATACGGGTGTTTTTTGATAATGCACAATACTTTTACCACTATGGATAAACTATTAAGTGGACCTTCGGTGAAGTAATTGAAGCACATGTGCAGATAGTAAAATTGACAAGATAGAGTCTATTGATGAAGCTTACCAAGCAAGTCAGCAATATTGGCAGTTTACACGCTAAGTAAAGAGTGTAAACTTGGCTTCTGGTACGATAATTCGGTTGAATTTTCATTTACTGTTTCAACTTCCAATATCAGTCATGTTGATAATTTATTGTTTGTATCAGTCAGCAGTAACGAGTATTACATGAGTATAATAAACATAGACCTTTTAGTTGTTTTAAGGTGGTGCGAAAATAATGACAGCTCTTAAATATATTCACATGATTTACGAAGCTGTTTTAGAATTTTATCACTTATTATAGTTGTGGTTGTCTAGATAATCAGGAAGTTTTTTTTAACGTACACCAATGGAGCACGACTAAGCACAAAAACAAGCATTGTTACAGACAATGCGAATATTTGCAAGGCGTATAGTGAATAGTACGGTTAAATTTCTAAAAATGCAGTTATATGTTGCATGCGTATCGCCGTATTCTGCACATAAGTGACTGAATCACACACATGTTGCTAAAAAAATACTGGAAAAAAATTAATGCAACTGCATGCATCATCTGTTAAATTACAAATGTGCAACAGTGCTTAAAAAACATCAGTCAAAAAATAATTTTGACGGCAAATGATTCCTGCAGTTCAATGCAAATATAGCATTAATTAGTCACACAAAAATTAAATCACAAAAGCAAGCATTAAAAAAAGTGCTAAGTTAAAACTCTTTATTTAAAAAATAAAGTAACAATCGTTGTGATGTGATAGCATAAAATATTCAGATGTTGAAAAAAAGCCAGTTTACACAAGATAATTTACTATAACAATTTATAATCTCTTTAAAATGGATTAAAATGCATACGGTATTTTCTTACCTACGAGTACTAACCCTACAGTTAAATAGTTGCCTCAGAAAGAGTCTTCAGACGTAGTAAATATAAACAATTATTCTGGTCATAAATATTATTTCGTGTATATAAATATTTAAACATTATCATTGATTCAACGTTATTTAAATATCAAAACGTATCTAAATTTAAAAGGTTTAGGTAGTTAAGCAACTAATCTAATAGTTTAAATGTACAAGTGCTCATTATTCGCATAACGAGCATGAGAATTTATTTATTATTTGGCAATAGCCGTAATTTGCATACAAATACCCATAACAAAAAAAAATTAAGAAAATTTATACGTTGTTGCCTTTCGGGAACTGCAAACATCCACCTCATGCACCATATCTTTGTTAAAATAAGTCAGAGCAAATCAGTTTTCTATTCTTTTGGAAAAACATTTAGCAGCTTAAGAATGCACAAATGTATAATTAGGTTGCAATTATTATTAAATCGAAATATTTGCTGCTTGTAGCTATTTTCCTTTTTATCGTCATATTTATACACTGCAAGGAATACGGCGATAAACCTCTGAAAAATCCTATGAAGACATGTTTCCACTAAGAGAGCGAGACTGTTGCTATTCAAAATATTAAAGGATAATTCACATTTGTAGCACGTACACATTTTCTCAAACCTACTTTAGAAATGAACAGTAAACGTCGTTACGCAAGCAAAAAAATTAAGTATGCTGAATCAAATTATGGACATCATTGGTCACAACACGCTTAGGAGGTTAGTTGAACATCCTCGAAATGTTTTGTCTGAAGTGGATGTTAGTCATATTACGTAGGTTCAATAATAATTGATTTCGAACAACGTTGCCGTGCTGGCCTACTTGGTTAATGAATTTCTTAGTCAAATCTTTGCGCTTCATTACATTATATGGGCTGATGCCCCGGTTTTGTCACGTTTCTTTGTAAAATACTGCATATTTATATATATTCCTAGCTTGCGATTAATTTAGTACCTTATGTTTATGCAAGTTTAATTGCCCTAATTATGTTATTTTTTGTGTAATGTTTACCATATTTTCAGTGAATAAAGTTATTGTTTCATTTAAGTATTTGACTGCTTTAAACAATTAAGCACTGATGTAAGAAAAAGTGCTGTTTGAACAATTTTTTACCTTCAGACTCGCATAATTTTAATATACCTTTGCGGTTGGCGCATTCTTCATAAGTCATGTCAAGGTCAAGTCTGGCTTGCAGGTTATGATAAGTGACAAATTTCTCGCTTCTTCTCGGAACGTTTTTCCTTTTTTTGAGTGAAAAATGCGTAAAGAAGCGGAAGAACATGATGTAGTTATGGTTTTGTGTACATTAAAAGTCGGGGACACCTGTTTTTACAATGGGACACTAAATTTCTCTGTTGGATTTGGATTTGAGTCACACGTCCCCGATATTATAGATAATTTAGTGAAGTCAATGGCACCAAACACTTCGAAAGAAGTTTCTTTGTTGACTGATTCCCTGAATAAAGCTGATAAATTGTTTTTTGGAATTACCGAAGAGGACACTGCTGATGCCACACTTACTATATCATTGAAAAAGATTGACAAGGTTTAGTTTGCACTCCTATTGTTATGTTAAATTCAGATTAACGAGGTTTGGAATATGTCAGAAAGTGAAAAATTTGCCAACGCTGCAGCACTTAAAGTCCGAGGGAATCAATTTTTAAAGGCAGGTTTCTTAGTGCTTTTAATTTTTTATGTTTGATTTTTCTATACATAAATCTTCTTAAGTCGGGAACATTGCTAGCCTTAAAGAATGCATAACTTGACATCCACCTAATGCCAAAAGGGATTCCTGTTTGGTTTTGGTTTCAGTAGAGACAAAATAGTTGCCAATTTTTTTAAATAAATTTCGTTTAAAATCATTTCTTTTACGAATTTTAACTATTGATCATGTTTATTGTGGTGTGTTGTGTCTCAATTCTTATCTGCAACTTTATCTGTTGTTGAATTTTTCTGGTGTTGTATTCGTTCCCTGATGGTTTATTCATATCCTTGACGTGTTAACGCGCATTGGAAAACATTGCTTTGTTATTTCAATTAACCCACTCGTGTCACCTTGCGAATATTTCCTGATTGTATCTTGAAGTTCTTCAGAATGACTTACATAAGGATGGTTTTAAATCCGTGTGTCCTGAGTCACCATATTTGTTATCGTTAGCAAGCTTTAAGTGGCTAAAACACAGTGCATAGGACTTTTAATTCGATCTGGTGGTTAAGTGTGCAATGGATTAAAACTTCTAATCGCGTTGCTCGTGTCGTCCGCTTTCCGTTCCGAACCATGTGTACTTAGTAAATATAAGTAGCTATGCTGTTTCAGAGCAGGCAATATGCTCGGTCGCTTCGTGTCTACAAGCTCGGAATTCGTTGCCTCGAGGGTAGTGCCAGCGTCTCCCCCGCAGCCTTTGAGTCACGCCACGAAGCGAGCGCCAACGCCAGGCAACTCTACCTCACCCTGCTCACCAACGCCGCCCTTTGTCTCCTCAAAATCAATATCTCTCCAGAGGGCATCGCCCCCACCGCTGGCAAAGCACCAATCAGCACGAGTGGCCTCATGCGGCCGTGTATAGCTCTGTGCAAGAAAGCTCTACAGCTAGACCCGCAAAACGCTAAAGCCTGGTACCGCATGGGTCAAGTGAGTCACCTGTGGGGTGAAAATTCCCTCCATTTTATCGATCGCTTTGCACCTTTTTTTCGTCTTGTAGGCCTACGCAGCCCTTGAAGACTACCACGAGGCCATTTCCGCGGGCGAACGAGCCGTCGAAGCGCTTTCGGTGTCCAAGACCAGCTCTGTAAAGGTGGAGGAGGCCATCGCCAAGTGGCGCCAGGCCTTAGTTTCCCTGAACCGCGCCGAACACGCGCACATCCGCTCGGCCTTCCTGCGACGCGCGACGAAACTGCGCCAACAGGGTCTCCTCTTTCCCGTAAGCCCCGCGCTTCACTTAAATGGCCGTGCTACTTAAATGCTGTTAGTAGTGTTAATTGCACGGTGTTTGAGGTCCGTGTGGTGGTGTGCTGCTCACCGATTGGTTAAACGATTTTTCCCAAAAAAAAATTACGCATAACAACAATTTTTTGTGTATAAAAGCACTCACAAAGGCTCCAGATCAACTGACAGTTTTCGGAATGAGTTATTTAGTCAGAATAGGTGAAAAAAGGTGCCTTTGTGGGCGCACTTTGTGCGGTGTACTCTAACGATTTTCATTTCGTGCTTGCTAAATTATTTTTTTATAGGCCTTGGGCTAATTAACGTCTTTCTAGGGCAACGCAAACGGGCAATTCACAAAAGTACAAAGTTGTTTCAACCTCATCAAACTCGAGTCGAAAATGGACATCACGTCTATAATCTGCTCCAAAACGTGTCGACGAATGACGTGTTTTTTTTCGTTCGTTTCGCTTCCTCCTATTGGCTGAGCATGGTGACGTTGCCTTGGCTACTGGGACACCCGCGCCGTATGAATTCATTCCCCCCCCCATGTGGTTTTCTTTACTCACGTTGGGTCACGTCTGGGAGAATTTCTCCTCATTCCTAATCGCTTGGCGGCATATCTTGAAGCTCATTGGTGCTTCGATTTGTTGTCCTTGACGGATTCCTGGCGGCCGATTCAAAACCCCCTCTAATCGCCGTCGCATTTGGTGTTCAAATGGCCTTCTTTTCGCCAAACTCTTGCCATCAACTGGCGTAAACTTTTAATTCGGTTGGCATTTCACGGCTGCCGCCATCACCGCCTCCACCACCACCACGACCTCGGCTGTCTTGACACCGCTATCAGATGTCGCGGCGATAACCTCGTAAATGCCAGCCACACGTCGCAGTCAATCAGCTAAACGGCCTGTTTCCCCTTTGTCCGGGGTGATTTTGACAAATTGGGCATGTACTACTGGCGCGTCGTGAGTAGTCTCACCAGCCAACTCGGGTTTTCGGCTTGCGTGAAGTCGGCAACTACTACGCCCTTTTGGACGCTAAATACCACCCCACAAGAGCTGGAATTTTCGTTAAACTGATGCACCTTGTCTAGGGGAATGCGTTTCCCAGGCATCAGGCCTTATTACGATAGCCCTTGAGGGTGATTTATTGTGGAATAAAGGTCATTTTCCTCGTCGTTACGTTGACCAGATGTGCCTTTTTCCCTGTAGGACGACGATGCTGGCGAGGCAAACCGTCTGCGCTTCGGTGATTGGTCCAACGACATGGCGAGTGACGTCATGTCGATTCACGAGGAGCTGGAGGCATTTGGTGAACGCATGCCCGACGCCAGGTCCGTTGTGTCGAGAAATTCCAGGAAAGGCGGTAAACGCGGTGGTTCGTGTGGTCTGACAACAATTGACTCCGAGGATGAAGAGGAGGAGGAGGACGAGTGGGGAAGCACCAAATGACGCCTTTTAATGTCTACTTTTATTTCTACTAACTACCTCTTTGGCTTCTCTTTATTCACATTCTGAGGGGTCGGTTTGTAATCGTGAGGCGGGTGATGCGTTTGCGCTGCCGATTCTAGCTACGTCGACTTAGAAATGAGTTGTACACATTTTAGACCAATCAACTGCTCAGCCCAAGGTCACTTGCGGGGAGCCAATGGCGTCTCTTGCACAGCTTTATCGATTTTTTGTGCTTTCGGATATGTGCGTTTGCCTATTTTTGTATTTCCGTCAACGTGACTCATTTTTAAAAAAAGGATCTCTTTTTTTAGGGATATTTCACTCTTGGCCAACTCTCCTGTCAATCAAATCCTGGCCAAAGTTAACCAGAGGAGAGATACCAAAGGCAGATTTTGTCGTAGCTATTGTAAACAAAAGTTGAAAACAGCGCCAAGAGCAGCATAGCTTCGCTCTTCCGTCCTATTGACGCAAATTAGTGGAATTAGGGACATAATCGTGGGATTTAAACGCTGAATATTAAATTTCACGCGGACATCGGTGCTAGGCCTGTACCCTCACGCATTGGTCGGGTCAAAACCACCTTTGCTAATTAATAATTCAATGCTGGCATGTGGCAGGTGAGTGCTTCGTGAAGGCGTGGGTTAAACGCCAAACCGCGTGTCTCGTTAGTTACGAGTAAATTGCCAAGTATGTCCCTTTTAAATAACGGTCAATGTGATCGTTTAATCTCTTCTACACTGATCTCATTAAATCGATAAAGTGGTCGTTTGGTTGAGGTTTGAGGAATAAGACTGAAATAGCGAAGGAGCAGCCGTATATTAAGACGAGGAAGGAGGCGAGTCTGTATGGGATGGCAAGTACGTTTGTCTAGATTCGCTAAGAATTGATCCTTAAACGGAAAAAGTTACGTGTTCGCTCACGCTTGCAAACTGCTCGCCCCCCCCCCCTGGTAAAAGTAATTGGCGAATATTTTCTTCCAACAGGAATTTTGAAGAGTATTGTGCAGTCGACTTTCGGTGTCCTAGAAGAGTTTGCAACCTGGAAGCAAGCACTTGAGAGTCGAGAACCGAAGCGAGTTAAGCGAAATTGAAACCAAAAAATGCGGTAAACCAGGCGAGACTCGAAAAATCGAGGTGGTTGGTGTTTGAAACAGACGATGGTCATGATATGGGAGCAAGGAAGGAGCGGGACAGGCAGTGTAACCATCAGGCTGTCGTGGGCTCCAGCATGTAGTATTGAACCACGCCGAGGCCACTGAATTAACCTTGGCCCAGTTACGCTTCCCTGATACCCGCGATGAAGAACGAGACCGGCGAGGACGTGGATACAACCGTTTACTTCAGAGTTCAACCACGACGGTGTCGTGTGTGGGGTTTGCGTGTGTGTATTTATACCTCGGATGTGTGAGTCATACATGCGCTAACATCGGGACCTAGGTGTGAGGATAATCCGAGATAAATATCCGTGTGAATGAGGGTGGAGTTGAGGATCCGCGCGGCTGGCGACATGCTGAGGCCCATTTTCGCAGTCACAGGATTAGTTCGCAGTTCTCCAAGTATTTACGTCTTGTAGCATGGCTACCGAAAGACGTTGCTAGAGCAGTTATCGACTTGCCTGGAACAATGCCTTCTGAAAATCCTTGTGAAATTTTGAAAGAAGCTGCTCTCACACGATTGATCAGCTTGAACGAGGCCCGTCATCGACGAAAAGGAAAAAGGGGAACCCTGTGTCGGAGGCTGTAGCGATCGGATTAAGGGGTGTGAATAAACACGAACCACAACAAGGCCAGTGAACACGTCTGCCATAGCGTGTAGTGGCAATTGTTTCTTTATTGTCAGAAGGGATGGGAGTTGTCTGTACCACGGGTTTATTGCTTGGCGTCGTCTCCGTGTCGAGGAATACTGGTTTGATGCGGCGTCTTCTTGCCCATTTTGTTCGACGATAAAAACCTTTTCTTCTCGTCTGAGTACTCTGAAAGGTCCATCGTAGGTGGGTTGGAGTGGTCGACGAATGGCATCGTGCCGAATGAAAATCTGAGTTCAAGAGGACAGTGTTCTCGGGATGTAGCATGAAGTGGAGGATGAGCAAGGTCGATTTGATATCAATTTGCTCATTGCCTTCCCCAAATCATCGACCAGCCATAACAGTGGGGATGTCGCCGTGACAAACTGCCCAGGGATTCTCAATGTCGTGACGAAAACCATTTCTGCAGAGGAACAACCCGAGTCTTCCTTTACATCTGATCGAATACCGAGTAGCACGAAGGGTAACACATCCGACCAATGAGATGGGCCACTGGGAGCGATTAAAGCAGCTTTCAGTTGCCGGTGAAAACGTTCTACCATGCCATTTGACAGAGGGTAGCAGGCGGTCATTCGAAAGCGATTCGTACTCAGAAGCCCTGTGAGATTTTGGAACAGGCTCGATCTGTGGTGATGGAGGAGGGGACTCCAAATAAGGCACCCCATCTGTCAACAAATGTTCTAGCTACGGTTTCGGCGGAGATGTCTTGCATTGGAAAAGCATCCTGCCATCGGGCAAAACGGGCAACGTAAGACAAAAGGTAACAGAAACCTCTTGAGTACGGTAAAAGTCTAACGATGTTAACATGTACATGATCAAACCTAGCGTCTGGAACTTAAAGTGTCCAAGATAGGCCTTGCTGTGTTTGTCCACCTTTGGTATTTGACATCTTGCTCAATTTCTAGTCCACTGTGTAACATCACGATTCATGGCGGGCCAAACATAGCGACTTGTAATCAGTTTCCGTGTTTCACGCTGACCAGGATGAGCAAGGCCGTGAAGGGCTTGGAACACTTGGCGTCACATCGGCTTAGGTACGAAAGGACGTTGCACGCCCGTTGAAACGTCGCAGACGACTGCACTTGTGGATGAAGGCAAAGGGACTTCGACTAGCATTAAGGCTGTATTTCATCGTCGGAACTCTTGCAATTCTGCATCAGACTGCTGAGCGATAGCCATTTCTTCGAAATCCACATTTGTACCTGTATTTACAGCGTCGATATGCGAACGAGATAGTGCGTCGGCTGTCGTATTATCCTTGCCTTGGATGTGACGAATGTCAGTTGAAAACTGTAAAATATAATCCAATTATCTTGATTCTCTTGGTGAGAATCGATCCGAACTCCAGCGGTTCGCAAAGGTCAGCGGTTTATGGTCGGTGTAGATCGTGAATTGCCGACCTTCAAGAAGATACCCGAAGTGCTTGACCGCCAGGTAGATAGCCAGAAGCTCACGACCGAAGGTGCTGTAACGCTTTTGAGCTTCGTTGAACTTGGCTGAAAAGTAAGCCAGTGGCTGACCTGACCCGTCGACGGTTTGCTGTAAGACTGCTCCAGCTGCTGAAAAGGTCGCATCGGTTCGTTGAGACAGAGGGACATCTGATCGTTGATATACGAATGTGGTTGTCATCGCCAAAGCCTCCTTTGTGGCTATAGAAGCTTCACGTGCCTTATCGGTCATGGTTAGATTTTAGAGGCAGAAGGATCTGAGACGCATTGGGTTGGATTCGGCGATAGAAATTGATCATGCCCAAGAAACGTCGAAGTTGTTTGATGGACTTAGGTTCCGGGTATTCTTGAATCTCCTTTATCTTAATATCGGTAGGCCTTAAACCTACAGCGGAGACGGTATGTCCTAGTAACTCGAGTTCTGAAACTTCGAAAGCGCACTTTGACGGATTGATGCTCAAACCGTATTCGTTAAGGCGTCGAAAGACAATGTCCATGTGTTTCAGATTCTGGCTACCAGAACACCGTCGATGTACGAAAAGACAAAATCTAATCTAGATAATACTTGGTGGATGAAACGCTGAAAGGTTTGAGCTGCATTTCGTAGGCCGAAGGGCATTCCCACAAACTCCAACAAACCGAATGGCGCAGCAATAGCCGTCTTGGGGATATCAGATTTTTCGACAGGGATCTGATAATAGGATCGCACCAAATCTAGCCTAGAAAAAAATGTATTTTCGGTGCAGATTCGACGAAAAATCATGCAGGAATTGTTATTGCGTTTAATCACCGCATGGCCGCCATTCACCAACAGCGTTCTTGGGAACCCTATGCAGCGCGGATGACCAATCACTGTTTGATCGTCGGACTATCCCAAGCTGCAACATGTGTTCGAATTCTTGTTTGGCTGTTGAGTATCGTGTTGGGGAGAGTCGGCGTACTCGGGCATTAATGGGGCGACCGTTTGTCAAAATTTGGTGTGTGACATTGTGTCGGACCTCGGTTTGCATACGGGAAGCGTTGCTAGGCGATCTATTAGACGCCTGTTCTTAAGGTCGAGAATGAGACCAAAGTGGTTGAGAAAATCTGCGTCTATGATTGGATGTGTCACCGAGGCGATGGTGAAGACCCAACGAAACTAGCGTCGTAGTCCTAAGTCAAGCGTGAGAGATCTTTGTCCGTAGGTGGGGACGGGGGAGCCATTGGTGCGGCTGAGAAAACAGAGATGGGGTTTGGGGACCGTTTTTCAGAGCGCGCTGGAGGGACAACGGATGTCGGTTCCTGAGTCGTGCAAGAATCGCATACCTGTTGACTTGTCGGGTAGGAAAAGACGGCGGTTTAAGTGCCCATAAGCAGTCGACGCCACTACTGCCAGGCATTCTCGTTTCCCGACCGTGTGAGTTAGTCTGAAGCTGCGTGCCTGCAAGGGGGCCTTTACTGTCGAGCTGCGCGGCCGAAGGTTGCATGATGTCAACACAAACCTCGGGACGAGGAGCGTGGAGAGGATCTTCGGCGGGAATGTGAGCGGCCTTGTCTAAATGAGTCGTTATATCGTCTCCCTCGTGAACCGTTGATTGTTAAGGCGTTGATTGCGGCTTCGATCCTGGCTAGGCGTCTATCCAAGGAGGCAGGTGTTTGGCACGCGTCGGCGAGCAAAAATGCATTCGATTGTCTTTGGAGCCTTGGGTCAATTTCGGAGATGTGAGTCGATTTCCTTGCTTCTAATTTGAGGTCTGCGGTATCCGCCAA